TAGAAAATAGGCACATGGGTGTTCACTGTATTACTCTTCCAACTTTTTGGTACATTTAAAATCTTTCATAATACTGGGGATAAAGGCTCTAGAAAATTTGGATAGGGCTTTTGTTAGTAAAAGGATAAACAGGAATTGTAATTGGTCCATAAATCAAACTGATGGTACTACAAAAACAAAACACCCCAAACCAAAACAAAAACCCAAAGTCTAGTTTTCTCTTTATATCTAGAAAGAGCTCTTCACAATGATGTCAGTGCCACCAAAATTACGCAAATAAAATATGGCCTCTGTGGAAAAAGTGAAAGGGTTTTGTAGGGAAAACCTGTTTCATCTTACAGGGGAGAAAACTGAGGCTCAGGACTGGTAACTGATGTCCAAATCACATAATAAACTTAATTGAGACATCATTTTCCCATTACTGATTGTTAGTAAGATTGGAAAGCAAGTATATGAGGCAAGTCAGGAAACAAACAGGCTTAAGTAAAAAAGGGAACACATTAGTGCATATACATGAAAGGAAAAAAAGGTATAACTTTATTTAGAGGCTACAGTAATGCCATGAGAAATCTTTTCCCTTTTCTTGGCTTCTCTGTTGGATTTATTCTCTGGCAGTTTCTCTGTATAAGGTAGCAAAATTGACCATTGGAAGTCCAGACACATCCTGCTAATTGACATGTATAGCATCTTTCCCATTAATGCCAGCAAAAGTATTGGAGCTAACTCTATTCGCCAAGATGGGGCCATATGGACTTAATGGGAGTTGAGGGGAAGGAGAGTTCCTTAAAGAAAAATCAGGATGCTATTATTTTAAAGAAGCAAGTGGGTTGGGTGTAGTGGCTCATGTGGTAATCCCATAATCCCAGCACTCTGGGAAATTGACATGGGAGGATTGAGGCCAGGGTTTAAGATCAGCCTGGGCAACAGTGAGACTGTCTCTACCAAAAAACAAAAACAAAAAAACCCAAATATATATATATATATATATATGTAAACTGGGCATGGTAGCTCATGACTATAGTGCTAGCTGCTCGAGAGGCTGAGACAGGAGGATCACTTGAGTCCAGGAGTTTGAAGTTACAGTGAGCTATGATCATGCCATTGTACTCCAGTGTGGGCAACAGAATGTAACCCTGTCTCTAAAAAAAAAATAATAAATAAAATAAAAGCAAGTGAATGAATAAATGTGTTGAACAGGTCAAAATAAGATGATCATCTGCCAGATCTTTTGATTCCCATATGCTGACAGATACAAAGTTTATACAGCTAGTAAGTAGACAAGCCAGACAGAACTCAAATCCATTTCTGAATTTCAGTAAGATCTGTAGCAAATTTGTAAAAACAGAAGGAAAATAACCTTAGGTATACCTTTTTATTCTTAGAAGACAAAGTACAAACTATAACAAATTAGACAATAACCTTATATTGCCCTTCAAGTTAAGGTAGAGTTTTAAAGCTTTAAATTTGACTTTTCTAAATGCTTGGTAAACATTAAAACCAACCTTACAATATTTTGATATAATTTAGTGCTAAAAAGACTCTACACTATAAATATCCAGAGCCAATTTTTAAAAAGATATAACTCAAGTATTGTTTTGATTCCCATTGGATCATGTCTGAAAATGCTGATTAGTTCACTGACTTCAAGCAGCTTTTGGTAGCTTAGAAAAGCAGCCAAGGCCGGAGGCGATTGCTCACTCCTGTAATCCTAGCACTCTGGCAGGCTGAGGAGGGAAGATCGCTTGAGGTCAGGAGTTCAAGACCAGCTGCAGCGAGAGTGAGACCAGTATCCACTAAAAATAGAAAAAATTCGCCGGCATGTGTCACATGCCTGTAGTCCAGCTACTCGGAAGCTGAGGCAATAAGGACTGCTTGAGCTCAGGAGTTTGAGGTTACTGTGAACTAGGCTGAGGCCCTGGCACTCTAGCCCAGGAAACAGAGTGAGACTTTGTCTCAAAAAAAAAAAAAAAAAAAAAAAAGCAGCCAGTATGTCAAAAATCCACATGCTCAAGCCAATTTTTTATAAAAAGCCATTTATATCTTCTCTTTTCCAACTTGTTTCCAGTGATTTCTTGCAGGCTGGTAGTTACTGGCTCCACTAGAGTTCTGTCTGTCAATTTTGAGCCAGTAGAGGCTTAGGCAGGACATTTTCAATTTGAGTCACTAATACCTTTCTAGAGATGTTTAAAATCAGGTATTTGGCTAAACCTGTAATGAGAGTTAAGTTTGCTTTTAACCAAACTTGCACAGAGAGTGACATCTGCTGGTCATAAAAATTACCACTGTTATCCTGTCTTAATTCCTTTTCAAAATTTATCAATGACTCTATTTAAATAGTAAAACTATGAGAAAAACAATGATCTCTTCCTTGGGAAAAAAGAAATTAATGTGTATGAATTTTTCTTTTTTTGAGACAGAGTCTCACTCTGTTGCCTGGGCTAAGTGCTGTGGCGTCAGCCTAGCTCACAGCAACTTCAAACTCGTGGGCTCAAGTGGTCTTCCTGCCTTGGCTTCAGGAGTACTTGGGACTACAGGCATGTGTCACCTCACCCAGCTAATTTTTTCTATTTTTAGTAGGATGGGGGAGTTCACTCTTGCTCAGGCTAGTCTGTAACCTCCTGACCTCAAGCGATCCTCCTACCTCAGTCTCGCCTCCAGAGTGCTAGGATTACAGGTGTGAGCCACCCACACCCAGCCAGAATTTTAGACTAAAAAAAAGAAAGAGGCCAGGCTGGGTGGTTCATGCCTATAATCAGCGCTGTGGGAGGTGGAGGCAGGCGATCGTTTCAGCTCAGGGATTTGAGACAGCTCTGAGAAGAGCAAGACCCCATCCTACTAAAAAAAATAGAAAAAAAATTGGCCAACTAAAAATATATAGAAAACATTAGCCGGGCATGGTGTGGCATGCCTGTAGTCCCAGCTACTTGGAGGCTGAGGCAGGAGGATCACTTGAGGCCCAGGAGTTTGAAGTTGCTGTGAGCTAGGCTGATGCACGGCCCTGTAGCCTGGGCAACAGAGTAGACTCTGTCTCAAAAGAAAACTCTAAATTTCTTCATCATTTTAGGCAAACATGCAGTATCTCTCATTTGATCAGAAGAAAAAAAATAGTTGTAAAATCTGAAAATGAATTCAAAACCACCTAGCAATTTCCTTAAGAATGTCCTTTGGATTTTTGTTTCAGAAAAGTAATTAAGTCTAAGAGAGAATTCTAATAGATTCAATGAAAGAATGGCTATCAAAGGTCATTTTATCCTAGTCCTTCTATTTTATTATTAGGTCCCAGGCTTCATACATGCCCTTGCACCCATTTCTACATCCTTCCTATTTTTAGAACTGCATACAAATTAAACTTTATATATGTACATCTAGATTTATTCCTGTGTTAGTTTTGGAAATTTTTCCCACTGTTCGTGAGGGGAGAATTTTCCTATTATAACATGGAAAGTTAGAACTTCTATTCTGTCACTATATTTTTAAAGGAAAAAAGGAATGTATTGATATTTACTGATAAAATATAAACTTTGATTTATACTACACAAGTTGCATCTCTAAATTTGGTAGTCAGATTCTATTTCCTGTCACAGTTTTTAAAAAAATTTTAGTACTATAAAAATGTAGTGATCATCCACCTTATAATTAAAACTTTTGGACATATAGGATTCTTTCCACGTGATAAATTTCTAGAGGAAAAAAATCTCAAAGAACCCTGTTATTACAGTGATATAATAAAAAATTGAGAATGGTAGAAGATGGACATTTTGTAAATTCGATTCTTCTTATCTAGAGGAGTCAATATATAACTTCTAAAGTTGATAAAACTACCACATGTGCTTAGTATGAACATATTACTTAGAGATATGGGTGGAATCACAGGAAGTTAAAGTGGAAATGGTTACAATAATTGGGCAAGAAGGGGATTGTGGCTTTTCCTCACAGGACTCTCTATACCATTTTCCCCTCAGTCTTGAGTATATACTACTTTGATAAAACATTAAAATTTTAAAATAAAAATGTAAATTTATTTAAATAAAAAATAAATTTTGCCAAATTATCATCCAGAAAAAGTGTACTAAGTTGGATTCCCATGAGGAATTTTTGATGGCCTGGAATTACTCCAGTGATTTCATGTCAATTTATTTATAATTTATACTCTAACCGACTCAAAAATTTTGAACTTAGAAAAAAATGCATATAGTCCAAGATGTGATATAAATGAGGAGCTTGGAGTAAAGAAAAAATAAGTGGAGGAAAAATTAGATTAAGCCAAAGGACCAAAAATTCCATTGGAATTATCTGGAAAGCTGGTTAAGAATGGGGATCTTTGACATTACTGCAGACCTGGAAAATCAGAATCTCTAGGGGAAGGCTCAAGAATCTTACAGCCTTGATGACCTAGAGTCCTAAAGTAATTTAGAAGACAAACAGTAACTAATACGATATTAGCATATTTATTAATATCATGGTATTTAAAGCATGGGATCTAAGGGAATAGACACTGTGAGACGAACTCCAAAGAGTATATTTAAAAATAAGTCTTATATAAGCTAGATTATTCTTTTTCCCATTATATTTTATAATCCTCTTCCTATTTCATTAACCTCCCCATAATAACACAAAAATGGGAGGATTTGGTCATTTTGCCCTTTGACTTTTGGGAGGTCTTCTCTTTCTCTTGGCTCAATTCCTAGCCTATTATTAAACCATTCAGTTGGATATTCTAGTGCTTGAGTGTCTTTCTTATGTGCCACATCAACAGGTTAAACAGATACTCAGAATTAGAAAACTCTTATGCATCAACTAGGTAGTAGTACTTAATCTTTTCTGCAGTTTGTGTTCTTATTCTCAAAACACACTTTCACATGCCTCATTAAAAGTTGCTAAATTTTTTAAACATAGAATTCAGTATACCATAAATATAAAAGGAAAGAAAGAATTGTAGCTTAATTTTACAATATTAAGAATATATTAAAATTATACATTAAAAAAGTATACCAGCTTACAGTGACTTCTGCTGTAGATGTAGCTTTTGTTCAATGATGTCTGAGAAACGAGGAACTTTTTTTGAAATAGCCACACGAATGTCATCACTCAGATTAAAGCAGCTTCTGGACTTTGTTTTAAAATGTAAAAGTGATGAAAATCCCAACTCACAAAGGTATGTAGTTGCAAATGGTGTAAGTATTTCTAGAGCTGTCTTTGCCAGGTTTGGAAACACTGTGAATTGAGCACACCAAAAATCCTCAAGCTTCATTGTCTCAAATTCCATTAGGATTTGGCCACTAGCTCGTAATTCAGCAAGATCATTTTTCATTAAATAACCATCATTGACAAAATCAAGATTAAAAAGAAATGGATCTAGTATCCATTTACTTGCCTCATCAAGATCTCCAATAGAGAAATATCCATGTAAGAAGTTGCTCAACTGTTGCAGATGCAGTGTTATTTCAGCTGCAATAAATACGCCTTCATTATCTGAAACAATTATTTCTTCAAGAAAAGGAAAGTTGGTGAAATTTCTTTTCTCAATTCGTTTTTGCCAAAATGGAAACTTCCTAACAAAAGCAGATAACTTCTCCCTAGCTGATACTGTGTTCATCCCAGTCCTTTGCATAGAGGCGCTAAGTTCGTTTAGGTGTTTGAATAAATCTGCAAGGTATGCTAGGTGAATTTTAAACTCTTTATTTTCAAAGACATCAACTAAATTACTGCTTTGGTGGTGAAGAAACTGATTTATTTCTTCATACATTTCAAAAATATGAGCAAGTATTTGGCCTCGGGAAAGCCACCTCATTTCAGTATGGAAAAGGAGGACACTATATTCTATACCAATTTCTTCAAAGAAGGCCTGAAATAGTCGATGATTTGGAGCTCGCCCTTTGATGAAATTTATTACCCTCACCACGGTAAACAGAGCATCCCTCAATTTTGTAGGCAATGTCTTTATGACAAGTGCATGAGGATTCAACAAACAATGTGTGATCATGATATGAGGTACCTCTTTCTTCACACAGGCAACAAATTCTGAATTTTCTCCTAACAGAGAAGAGGCACCATCAGTACAAACAGAGCCACATACATCAAGTGCTATCTTATGTTTCAAAAAGAAATCTCTGAAGAGATTGAACACATCTATTCCTTTCATGGTTAACTGCAATGGTTCACAGAACAGGAATTCTTCTATGATCTCTCTTTCTTTTATATATCGCACAAATGCCATCAGCTGACTGCAGTCATCCATGTCAGTTGTCTCAGCAAGCTGAATACCCACTTTAAGAGAACTGGCTTTGATATCTTCTAGAACTTGCTGTAAGATATCCTGGCTCATTTCATCAATTCTAGAATGGATCACATCATCTGATAAGGGTACCTGCTGAAGCTTCTTTTGTGCATCTGGTCCCAAAACTATTTGTGCTATTTCCAATGCACAAGGTTTCACTAATTTTTCAGCTATTGTATGAGGATTCTTCTCCTTGGCACATAAATATGCAAACTGATATGACGCTTGTAATAAGGCATCCTCATGAGATGCAACTCCAAATGCTTTCAAGGTTTTACTCTGATCAGATGGTGTAGGCATATGCTTCAGGCTATTGAGATCATGCCCAGCTACACCACCATGCTGTCTGTTAAAATGGTCTGACAGTTTTGATGGCCTGAGGTCAGCATTTGAAAATACTGAGTTACATAACACACACTGTGGGCGCTGAGTTCCATCAACCTCTGTTGTACAGGTGAACCAGTAACGAACATAGTCATCATCCCATTTGCGTTTCTTCGACATGGCACACAAAAATTCTCAGGTAGTACTCCAGAGATGAAACAGAATTTTGCTTTGGGAGTAAAATAACCCACACATTAAAAATCAGTGGCTAATGGAGTTTAAACAAAGCCACATCACCTGCTATCTTGTCATCACATGCTATCCTGTACATGTTAAATATAACCTGCAGTTTGAAGTAAGCCATGACAGAATGACAATGCAACTTACAGCTAGTAACTCATGGCTAATGAGTTAGCCTGGAATAAGTGAATGCCAGCAAATTATACATGGGAGATTTGAGCTTAGCCAAGTTATAAATACCAGTAAGTCCTTTATTGGTGAATCTTACTATGTTGCCCAGGCTGGAGTGCAGTGGCCCAATCATAGCTCTCCGCAGCCTCCAACTCCTGGGCTCATGTGATCCTTCTGCCTCAGCCTCCTGATTAGCTAGGACTGCAGACATGCACCACCATGCCTGGCTAATTTTTCTATTTTTTGTAGGAAGGGGTTTTGCTATATTGCCCAGGTCGGTCTCAAACTCCTTGGCTCAAGCGATCCTCTCACCTCAGCCTCCCAAAGTGCTGGGATTACAGGCCTGAGCCATTATACCCAGCTAGTTCTTTTTAATAGTTAAGGGTTAAAGAGGTCTGTAAAACTATTTGATCCTTGAGCAGCTTTGACTGCAACTTAAGCAGAGAATTTCAATCAGGTCTTTAAATCTAAGTAAGCCACCTTTGACACAAAGGCAGGCTACAAATTTGGCTTAGAGGTTCCTGGCTGCCAAGTGTAACATACTATCAATCCATGAGTTGTCCATATATAAAAGTGAAACAATTTGCTCAGGAGAAACACGACTAATTCCTTTTACTGAGACTTAAGAAAAATTCGTCTCATATGAGAACATCCTTAACTACAATAAGAAATTTCACAATGCTTTTTCATTGGGCTAAGTTTTTACCCCTCAGTAAAAGTAGTCAAGAAAAAAGCCGAAACAATAGAATGAGAATAAACAGCATTCTTAAGGTTGGGTTTAAGACAAAATTAGAATATAGAAAGCAGTGGTTCTCTAGTTTAGTAAATGGAGGAATTATCTGGGTCCCTTACTAAAATGCAGATTCCTAGGCCCCACTCCTAGAGATTCTGATTCTCTAGCTCTGGAGTAGGAGCTTCCAAATAAGCATTTTAGGTAATTTTTATAAATAGTAACTAGAACAGTGATCTGTAACAAGAGATGCCCACCACAATCACTGGGAACCTTTTTGAAAGTATACATGTCCCTTTACCTTAGAACTAATAAATCATTTCCAGAAGCAGGACAAAGGAATATGAAATAAAAGTAGTCTGGATGATTCTGAAACACATCCTAGTAGGAAGTCAGATTTAGAGGAATGAAAACATATCCTTCAAACCAATCCCTAGTTTGCACATATTCCAGGTTGCCATTTAAACAGTCCACATGCTTTAATAGGCATTTAAGTTTTCTGAGTTGATGATGGCCTCCTCTAAAAGTTAAGAGACTTAAAGAAAGCCATGCCTTCTCTCTTTTTTTCTCTCCTTAGCAAAGAGTAAGGGTATAAGCCACAGCTAAGCTCAAACAGATCTTAGAAAACAATTCTATTTCCCAGATCAATTAGTAATCCCCAAAGTTTTCAAAGTTCCATGCAACAGAACATGGCTGAAATAATTTAATAGGTACACATTTAAATCAAAATACCCACTTTGACCATTAAAAAAAAAAAAAATCACAGTAAGTAAGCCAGGAGCTGGATGTGGAGGCTCATGCCTATAACCCAACTACTCTGGAGGCTGAGGCTGGAGGATCGCTTGAGCCGCGGACATTCAGACCAACCCAGGTGATACAGCAAGATCCCTTCTCCAGAAAAGCCAAGAATATCTACTTAAAGCACTAGCTTTCTAGTGAATGTGCCAAGATGAACTAGTTGTAAACTGTACTTCTATGTAACTTAACAAGTTGGTCTGTCATATAGTTGTTTGTTACAAGCCAGTTAAAAACTGGAGTATGTCTGCCAATCAAAAAAGGCAATCTGAAGTTTAAAGAGTTAATCTAATCTAAACCTCCATCTCAAGGAATGAGACTCTACACCACTGTGTCATTAATTACAATAATTAATTAATGACAATAAAATGACATCACCATAAAAGTGTCTACTTTTCTGTATTCTGTTATGTATATTTACCATGTATATTTGGAGAGGCAGAGGGAATGAAGGAAAAGCTTTGTTTAAGGCTCATTAGAAACCATTACAGGAACTGTTAAGAGTTCATTCCTATCCACTCTAACTATGGTACTCAAGTAAATTTTACGATTTACAATTTACCTGTTTTGAACAAAATATTTCTTAGGAAAATCCATTTACAGTATTTATAATATTATTCTCCATCCTACTCAAAAAGGGAGGATAGCAAGAATTTTCAAGATCCTCAAAGATGAACTTACCGCCCAAGAGGCTTTCTTGTGTTTTAGAACCTCACAATTTTCACTTGCTCCTTTGTGGTATTTAGGAATTACAATATCCTAAAAAATGTAAACATCAAAAAAGCATCATCATAATAAGGAATTATTGTTAATTTAAACAGGTATTAATTTAATGGTATTGTGGTTGTGTTTTTAAAAAGCCATCATTTGTTAGAAATACGGACTTAATTATTTTACAAGTGAAATAATATTTTGGATTTCCTTTGAAATACTGTACTTCAGCACACACACAAAGTGGGGTGGAGATAAAAGATGGGCTGAAAGTTGGTAATTGTTGAAGCTGGATGACAGGTACACATCATGACACCATTCTTACTATTTTAATGTAGACTGGAAATTTTCCACAATAAAAAGATAAACAAAATGCATTATCTTAAGACAGATATTCATTTTAAGAATGATTCTTCTGAGAGAGATGTAGAATGGAAGACCTGATATATGACAAAGTAGAATGTTTCTGCAAGTTTATGAAGGGTAGATACGAAAAAGTATCACAACTGAGAGAAAAATCAGTTAAAAGTGAACATTCACACGACAGAAATCTTCAGGGAATGCCAAAATACAAACATTCCAGCAGTGAAAACACCAAAAGTTGAGTTGCAAAACTAAAACTCCAAACCAGATACAATTCAACTTTTATCTAGCTACTGCCTATGCAAGTGCACAGTAGGCGCTGGTGTTTGGGAGGCAGAGGATTCAACCATCACGTTTTACAGTTAAAATCAATAGTCAGGGGAAAGGGGGCGCGGGAGTGTGGCAGCTCCGCAGACGCTGCAGAGACTAACGCCTGGGATCGTGGCTCTGTCACTTACAGGCTGGGACTTTTCCAAGCCTCAGTCCTTCGAGGGAGTAACAGTACCTACCTTCCAGGGTTGCTGGGAGGTTTAATTATGAGAATGCATGCAAAGAACACGTAGCCCTTAACTGACAGAGCCTGGTGGTGTTATTGTGAAGGACGGAGATTTTTAAAGCCGGCCGGGCGAGCGAAGGGCGCCAGCCGCGAGGGAAAAAGGACGCCGCTCGGTCTCCGCCCGCCCGTCTCCGAGGAGCCTGAGGCGCAGGCCCCAGGGATGCTCGGGCTTCCTTTAGGCGCCCGCTTCAGGTTCCAGTCCTGCCCTCCGCTCAACCCGGACGCTCAGCCTATGGCCATCGGAACCAGTCCAGGCGGGGGTTCCTCAGGTCGGAGCCCCCAGCAGGAACCTGCGGAGCGCGGGGAAACAGCAAGACGCGGAACCAGCTCCACCTCAGCCAGGCCAGGCTTCCATCCGGGTTCTCCCGGCTGCTTCCCGCCGGCAGACTAGGCGAGGCATCTTCCCGCACGCAGGCGCAGTAGCAACCGGCTGAGGGGGCCGGCGGGCTGGAATAGGGAGCATGCGCACTGGGCCTCCCCAGTTAGAATACGTGGAGCTGGAAATTTTTTCATTATTGTCCACTAGAAAGAGTGAACTCTAGAATTTCAGGAATGTAAGGTACTCTAAAGCTCACATAATTCTTTTTAACATTCAGAGCACTGGATATAAAATTTTTTATTGTGTCAGGCTTTGAGCTTGGAGATGATAAAACTTGACAATTACCATGTTCCACGTGGAATTAATGAGGAAAAAGAGAAGGAAGCTTATTGTATTTCCAAATTAAACATTCAAGCAAATAGGACAGGCTTTAAATTCTATTAAGATATTCAAAATTGAGGATAAGCTTCCATAGCTTGTGTCCTGTTGCCCATGCAGTTTGCTTCGCCTTCCCATAAATTAGAGCATGTAGCTGAATTCTCTAAGAATCATCATCCATCTTAAAGATTTTTAATTTTGTTAAAAAAATTTTAACCACATGATTTTAAAGTAATAAGCTCATATTAGGGAGGTTTTAGAGAAGAATCCCAAAGTAGAAAACATTGAAAGAAACAAATCCAAATATAGTCCTCTTTATTATTTTGGGGGTATTTTCTTCCAGAATTCTTATAGTTTATTCATTTTTGTACAATGAAACTTGTTAGAAGCATTTCACAAATGCTGGTGTGGGGGGAGGGCAGTGTAGGGGATGTCAAAGAATGTGGGACAAATGCATCATTGTCAAGTACTGGGGTGAGCCTGTTAAACATTGAAGACCTCCGTAAGGTTTTTGTTGATGTAAGAAGCTGTAAAAAAACAGCCTTCTTGGGCCAGCATGGGTGGCTCACGCCTGTAATCCCACCCCTTTGTGAGGCTGAGGCAGGAGGATTGCTTGAGGCCAGGAGTTGAACAGCTTGGACAAAATATGAGGCCCTTCTCTGCCCCTAATCTCTACAAAAAATTAAAAAAATTAGCTGGGTGTGGTGGTGTGTGCCTGCAACCATAGCAACTTGGGAGGCTGGGTGGGTGGCTGGGGGCAAGAAATCCCTTGAGTCCAGAAGTTTGAGGTTACAGTGAGCTATGATTAGGCCACTACACTCCAGCTTGGGAGACAGAGGAAGACCTTGTTTCTTAAAAAAACAAAGCAAAAAACAAAACAAAACAAAACCCACACCAGACTTCCTAGCCCAGAAAATAGGGCTTTAAATACTAGAAAAAGGGTAGGCTTCAGAATCTGACTCTTGGCTCCAACACTTTTAACTATTTGGACTTGAGCAAATTACTTGGTGTCGTTAATTCCATGAACTTATTGTAAAACAGAGAGATCATCTGTTACTCACCTCATGAAGTTCTTTTGAGGAGGTAACAGGAAAATCACAGTACATAGTTTCTGCACCCAAAAGGCAGTTATTGAGATAATAAAATCAAAGCTCATATTTGAATAATGTTCTAGGTGTTACCCTTTTTCCAAAATGAAACAGCAGACAAAATTCTTCTGAAAATCAGAGTAGACTGAGCCTCATCAAGAGGGGACAGAGGTGCAGAAAGTTTAGAGCATGTTTTTTTTTTTTTTTCTTTTTGAGACAGAGTCTCTCTCTTGCCTGGGCTAGAGTGCTGTGGCATCAGCCTAGCTCACAGCAACCTCGAACTACTGGGCTCAAGCAATCCTTCCGCCTCAGCCTCCCGAGTAGCTGGGACTACAGGCATGCACTACCATGCCTGGCTAATTTTTTTTCCATATATTTTTAGTTGGCCAATTAATTTCTTTCTATTTTTAGTAGAGACGGGGTCTTGCTCTTGCTCAGGCTGGTTTCCAACTCCTGAGCTCAAGCAATCCTCCCACCTCGGCCTCCCAGAGTGCTAGGATTACAGGAGTGAGCCACTGCGCCTACCCAGGGCATGTTTTTTGAGATAAAGGATGCTGAAGTTTTCTAACACAGACTCACAGATGCTGATCCAGTTTCCCTGCCAGTCTTATAATCCACTTTTCTGCCAAATATTAGAAATAATGCTACAAGTCACTCACAGTTAAGTATCATCATTTATATATCTTTAAAAAAAGATAAAATTAAAATAGACACACCAATATCAGACTTTATGTTGAACCATCCTTTAAGGCAGGAATATGAGAACAATTTTTGTATCCTTAGAGATCTACTTGCATTGCAGTTTTAATTCATACTAGTCTAAATATAAACACCATATGTATCCATAGTACTTGACAATTTTACTCAGTTACTCTAACATCACCACTATTTCTGAGATGCTGACTTAACCTAGTATTCTGCAGGTGGTTTTTGTTAGCTTACAAAGCCAGAGAGTTGCTAAAAATCAATGTACTCATGTCAGAGGTTTTTATAAATTTTATTTAATTAATTTATTTATAATAAATCCTTCATTGGACATGTCAGAGGTTTTTAGCAGGCTGTTTTCACTGATTCCTTTCTGTTAGTATTATCTTCACAATGCTCTTAGAAAAGACTTGGGGATCATGACAATTACAGTTACTAATATCCCTAGATATTCTTGCAATTCTTTGAAGGAGCCAACTTCAGGTTTTGCTTTTTAGAAATTTTACAAAGTGACAGTTGCTGGCTATAAAGATTAGGATATTCTATAGTTTTAAACAATCTAATATTTATGATTGCTACATAAAGGCAACCATAATCAAAACAACAAATAGTATCATAAACCATAATCTTCTACGATAAGAAAGGATTTTTTTTTTTTTTTGAGACAGAGTCTTGCTTTGTTGCCCAAGTTAGAGTGAGTGCCATGCGTTGGCCAAGCTCACAGAAACCTCAATCTCCTGGGCTTAAGTGATCTTTCTGCCTCAGCCTCCTGAGTAGCTGGGACTACAGCATGTGCTACCAGCCGGCTAATTTTTCTATATAGATTAGTTAGCCAATTAATTTCTTCTATTTATGTAGAGACAGGGTCACTCTTGCTCAGGCTGGTTTCGAACTCCTGACCTCGAGCAATCCGCCCACCTCGGCCTCCCAGAGTGCTAGGATTACAGGCATGGGCCACTGTGCCAGGCCAAGAAAAGGATTTCTATGTCTAAAGGCTTATGTCCAGAATGCCAAAAGATCTAATACTAATCAGTCAATATTGACCTAATGATGGGAAAATAGTTATTTCACTCAAAGGACACATTTCATTTTAAGTATAAGGTACAAGGAAATGTATTAACAATCAAAATTTTATAACCAAGTGAAAAACAGTTTTATTACTACACAGATTTACATGGGGAAGAAAGATATTTACATGTTCTACAGATTTCCTTTCAGTGATCCAAAGCCCAAGGTAGAATAATTTTTTTTTTAACTTCAGACCAGGAAAACCTTAGAAGGCAAAAACAAATGATTAAAAATAAATGCAATTATAGTTACTGGTAATTAAAAAAAATGAAGCCCTAGTTTTTAGAAAGAGTAATCTACCTTCAAAATGAGTGCTAATACTAGATAAAGGGAGACAAAAATTGAAGAAATAAAGTCTGAGGCTTAATAACTTCAAACTCTGACACTCTTGATAGGTGGAGAGCCAAGGCCTCTTTCCACGTCACTAATATAAAGTTGGAAGCAAAATCTTAATCCACACTTAATGTACCTCCTTTTTGTTTTTCTTGTTTGTTTCTTCAGTGTGGAAAGGAATGAATTTACTATGAGACTTCTGAAAGATTTATTAAAGTTAGGCAGCAAGAAGAGTAGACAAGAACTTTTCTATCTACAACCGTCAGCAAGAAGCCAAAAAGAACTCATTAGTTGCATCTATCTTGGGTGATGATCTTCTATGACTAGTAACTACTGTCCGAGAAAAGAGGCCATGGGGTCATCTGGCCTCTGACGTTTCATTCTATAGGCCTCCATTTCCTCTTCCGTGGGTTCCCGAGTTTCATATATGCTATTGTAAGGCCGCTTCCTCTCATCAATCTGCATGATCTCTTTGACGTGAAGAAGACGGGCCTCCTCTGCATTCAGTGCCTGCAGTGAGAGGAAAAAAATAAATGAGTATCACAGCTCTATATTAGATCTCTTTTCTTCAAAAGTGGCAGAGTACCACAAGACCCCACTGAATATGAATTGCTGTATCAAAAACCTAGATTGCCTGAAGGAGCTCAGGAGTTAGCCTTTTCACTGTCAAGCTACAACTAATTACTATTTGGCTCATATGATTTTTTCAGAGAGCACAAAACATTTTTAGTCAATGTTAAAGAAATTGTATTTAATAACAAAAACTAAAGGAGGTTCATTTTACTAAAACAAGCCCACAACTGATGCTTCTGGTAGAGACTGCAATTCTGACTTTTCCTCAAGGACTTGCTGAAACTTACAAATTATGGAGCCAGAAGACAATTCTTCCTGAGCAACATGTCAATTATTCTAAAACAGTTTTACAAAGAGCACATTTCTTCTGTCCATTAGTGATATTTATTAAATACTCTAAGAAGAAGGCAATACCTAGACTTGCACAATCTCTATTAATATAACCTGGGCAAATCAACCAGACTCTAGTTGGACTCCTTTCATTATTTTTAAAATGAGTTTGGAGACAGGACTACTAGATCATTTCCTAAGGTCCTTACAAATAAAGAATAATGCTATTTGTCATTTTTACTATTTAGACTTTACCAAGTACCTTTTTCAATTTTTCATGTTTCTTTTCTTCATCATCACTATCTGAATTGCTCTTTCGATGCTTCCTCTTTTTCTTTTTCTTCTTCTTTTTCTCCTCTTTTAGTTTTTCTTGATGTAGCTGAGAGGGAAGATCGAAATACAGTGTTATTAATGTGAAAACAAAACTACAGTGCAAGTTTTTAAGTTCTTCCTCCAGGTCTTAAAAATTTAGGGCAAATGAATATAGACTTACCTCCATAAGGGTTTGAGGCTTTTTCACAGATTCTTCCCCAGTTATGTCATTTATAATACTTTCCTCTGAATTCTGTGGGAAAATAATATGTAATTTGAGT